TGCTGAACCTCCCCTCCCACCTTAGGAGATGTCCCACGGCCACCCAGCGCTCACCCTCCTCCTTTCGTTGGGATCCTTTCGCCAAAGAACTGGGTGCAAACCAAAAGCTGCTTGGGGGAGGCTCCTGGGCTGAAGTGGTTCCTCCTCTCCAGTGCCATCCTCGTGGAAAACTCACCCCGTTTCCCTCCCCACACCACCTGCCCCAGCCCTCCTCTTTGGTTTTCATGGGATCAGGATGCTGACTAGAGGAAAGTAGCTTTATTTTTTTATAAGAAGAGGGGAAGAACCTCTTGTCTACACAATATTTGAGATTCAGTGGAGGTGGGGGGGTTTCTAGGTCAGTGCCAATTTTCCACAGAATCCTGTTTCTTGATTATTCTGCATCAGGGACCGTGTGTTTTCTAAGGCAGAGATACAAAAGATTTTATGTGGCCTCTTAATGCTGTGGATCCGTCCTGACTGAATCACTGAGGGGGGGGTGGAGTGTGTGTGGTTGGGGTTTGGGACAGGGGAAAGGGGGTATTTAATTGGGGGAAAAAAAAGCCCCAAATTATCAGGGAGCTGTGCAGCATTGCTTGTGTTGCTGATAATCCAAAGCAGGGGTTGGAGTGTTAGAGGAAAAAGGGTGGAGAGGGATTCTGATGCTGCAGGGATAGTTTATAAAGGAAAGAGGGTAATATATGGGAACAGAGAGAAACTCTATTTTATGAAACAGCTTCTTACCATTAGCAAAAAATATTCTCCCCTCCTCAACTTCAGGAAATTATCCTTATTCTTCTTTTTCAGAAGGGAACTCTGCTGTGCTGAGAGAGCCTTGGGTTATCCCCCCAGCCTCTCTGCCAGAGGGCAGAGTGGGGACAATGGGGTGTGGGGACCAGGAGTGTGTCACAGAGGTCTGCAGAGAAGCTGCTCTGTGGGTGAGCTGCAGAGGGGGGGGGGTGCAATGCAAAAAGATTTCTTCTATGGGTGGAAGGAAGTTCTAGTGAAATAGCAAGTTGCTTATCAAAAGCAAAGACAAATACAGGAAAAAAAATAGAGAGAGATGCTATATTTATAAGTATAGATCATTTTCTAAACCAAGATACAGCATATTTATTAGTCTAACCCTGTCCTGTTTTGTAGAATAACCACTCTGGTTTTATACAAGTGGTAGTTAAAGGTCTGTTTGTGTTTATTGTGCTTTAAAATCACTTGGGAGGGTGCAGATTGGGGAGGGGGGGGAGGAACAGATCTCTTTACAAGCCAAGCTTAATGGGTTGGGTTGGCAGGGTGGCAGACTTTGCATGGATTTCAGTGCTGGCAGCTTTGAGTGATCCCAAATGGCAAACACTGAGAACCTCCAGCTTGTAAAACACCTCAGCCCTTCCCAGGAAGGGAGAACTGACCAGATTCACTGCTAAAAACATAACAGGGTTTTTCTGCCCAGCTCCTAAACTGCTGTTTGCTGGATGATTTGGCACGTTCACAGGGCAGATGGTACATCTGTAGCTGCAGACCTGTTGGGTGAGTAACCAAACTGCTGGGATTAACCATGCCAGAAATCTAGCTAGAGCTTATAAAAGTGACAGACTGTACCTAAAGGCTTTATCTGGTGTTTACTCTGCAAGCAGGTATAAAGCAGCTCCTTTTGTAGGCTAGAAACCCCCAGGATGTGACCATTGTGGTGGTCAACTGGTGCTTTCCCAGGCAGAAGACCTAAGTAAGGTGGTAGTCAGGTTCTGCCATTACCTGAGACTGGGAGTTCAGGGGTTTTTTTGGAGTCAAGTTGTGTTGCTTTTTAGTATGTAGCATAAAATAGAAACACAATTTACAAATAGAATAGTAATACATGTTGAATTCCTGACAATTATGACCTGAGGAGCTCCCTGTCTCACTCTCAAAGGAATCTCTCATTTTGTGGCATCCCTTTTTGTCCATTGAGCAGGAGGGGTGGCTAAGAACAGTGAATTCTGACAGTCCAGCAATGTGTGTTTCCCTGAGCAGCTTGTCCAAAGGTCAATAAAGCCAAAAAGGGACTTGAGGAGCAGGCAGATGATTCCTACCAAGGTGTGTAAAAGCCCAGTCCTGGTTTGGAAACCAGTTCCAAGCACCTCGCTGCTCTTTATCTCTCCATCTGCTGAAACTTGGAATAATTACTATTATTCTTTTAAAAAAGATAGAAATAGAGCAGTGATACCCAGGACAACATGCTCTGGAGGAGGGGATCTCCCAAGCTTGCCAGTGAGCTTCAGTGCCTGTGAATTGCCAGAGCCTGTGGTCCTTTGGGGAGCTCCATTCCACGAGGAGAGAGTCTCCAAAACGTGCAGCCAGTGCTCCCAGCCTGGCCTTGCTCCAGGGCTCTGCTGAGGAACAAAAGGGCAATGCCTGTAGTAAAATTCCATTGTTTGAGTTGTAGTTCTATACTGGCTGCTGCAAGAGGCTGATTTTTATTCATGCATTCAGTCATATTCTGATGATTCACGCCTGGGAAACTATTCTCCCAAAAAGATTTTGCCATCAGAACTTTGTGGGGAGGAAAAGAAGTTTCAACATGTTTCTTTTCTGGTAGGTGGTTTTGAATTAGTTATTAAATTAAGGGGAACACAGTAAGTGGTTCTAAATGGCTACTAACTTAGTAGTCATTGCTTACTAAACTTACTCACCACTTACTAAAAATCATCTTCTCTCCCTTCTCCATCCTCATTTGACTCTTGCTTCATTTTTTTGTTCCTGAATTATCCCTCTTAGGTTTCACATCCCCACCAGCAGTTTGAAATTCTAGGTGACCTCTTGGCAAGGTGTGTTGGCCTTGGTGCTGTCAGGCCCTCAGCCCTGCACGAGTGACTCAGAGCCACTCCTTCCTGCTGTGGTGGGACTGAAAGCCATAGCAGGGTGAGCATCACCAGCTCTCTGTCACAGCCAGGAAATCGTGGTAACTGCAGCTCCTTCCAGCTCCTCTGACTTGTCCAGAGAAGGGCAACGAAGTTGGGGAAGGGTCTAGAGGCCAAGTGTGGGGAGGAGCAGCTGAGGGAGCTGGGGGTGCTGAGCCTGGAGCAAAGGAGGCTCAGGGGAGACCTTCTGGCTCTGCACAGCTCCTGACAGGAGGTAGGTGGGGGTCTTTTCTCCCAGGTCACTAGTGATAGAACAGGAGGGAACAGCCTCAAGCTGCTCCAGGGACATCAGACTGGACATGAGGAAGAACTGAAAGGGGTTGCCCAGGGCTGTGCCAGGCTGCCCAGGGCAGTGGTGGAGTCCCCACCCCTGGAGGGGTTTCCAAGCCGTGGAGATGTGGTGTGAGGGACACGGGGCAGTGGGGACCTGGCAGGGATGGGGAACAGTTGGACTTGATCTTAAAGGGGGGCCTGGGGCTTCAGAGTCTTCTCTTATGCTCTTAAGCTTCTGCTTTCATTTTACAGCAGGGTTTGAGCTGAGATCAGTGGTGTGGGGTTGGGTTTTTCTCCTCATTCTCATGTCTCCCTTGGAGAGGTGACAGCAGCAAAACCAGTAGCAGGGGCTACTCCAAAGGTGTTTTTTTTTTCTGTTGCCTTTGCCTTCTGGGGCTTTTTACAGACATTTGCAAGAGGAGAGGTATTTACTTCTCTTAAAAAAAAAAAAAAAAAAAGAGGTTTTGAGTGCCTGAAACATGCTTTTTTTGTTTTAAAGCAGAAACATGAGGCAAGAAGAGGCAATTTGCTGACTTTGGGACTGGCAGTGGCTTTGATGTAGCAAAAGACTCTTGAGAGGAGCTGCCATTTCCTCACCATCTCAGTATTTTTGTAAAAACCACTTGCCTTAACCATTTTGTGGAGGTTATGTCTTATTTAACAGGCTGAAGGTGTGAAGGGTTCTTGCACTTGACATTTAGAGGCTTTGGATCATGTCAGAGCTTTTGTGTAAGGTGGGATTTTGATACCTGCTCCACAGCAACTCTCTGGGGCTGTTTCAAGGTGAGAGGCTTTTGTCTCCTAGGACTGTTTCAATCCATGGCTATGACTCATGTTTTCAGGCTAAATTAAAATACTAATAACAATAATAATCTGGAGCTGTTATTGGAAAATTTATGTTCTTGGCACCATAACTGAAGAAAAGTAGCAAGTGTAAAAAATAACCCCCAGCAGCAACTGCTATTTTTGTCCAGGTTTGAGCACTGCAGGAGTTTCAGACCACGCTCTGATCTCACTTACAGAGAACAGAAGGGGGGGGAGAAAAACCCCAAAAGCTGTTCAAATGAACAGTTTTGCACCTGGCTTCTCTTTAGAGAGAAACCTGAATTTTCACAGCTTCTTTCCTCAGCCCTTAATCGTTCTGTGAGTCTTAATAATCCTGCTTTAAACCCCTCACAGAGGGTAAATGATCTTTGTTTTTTCCTAGAGGATGCTGTTGACTTGGGGTTCCTCTCTTAGATGCTGGGCAGCTCTGTTTCTAATTTATTATTATTATTATTGTGATTAATTTCTAGTTCAAGGCAACAGAGGCACAGTTCTTTGCTCTGTGCTTCTGTTCCACACCTCCTTCAAGCCTAACTTCAGAAAGCAACCCTGAAGTTGCTCCCCCCTCCTCCTGCTTAACAAACACAACTGTGCAGCAGGCAACTTAGCAGCTGCCTGTGGCCTCTCACTCAGCTTCTGGAGCTCCAGTGGTCCTTGCTCTGGTTCTGCTGAGGCCCCTTGCAGCTTCCAGCCCAGCCTGTGTGGCTGCCCCGTGGAGTTTCCTTCTGCCGCGCCGCCGGGAGCGTGGATCTGTTGGGCTGCAGCAGCTGCCTCCTGCTCTGACAGTGACTGAAGCCCCCCAAACAGTGGGGTTTATTTTCTCCTGGCTGCCCCTGGAGCTTTGCTTCCCCACGTGGCTGTCACTCTGTCGTGCCAAAGTACCCCTGGCTTCAAAAAGTCCCCCCAGCTGGTGGCAGCTGAGGAGCGTGTCTGTGACTCGGGTTCTGCACTGCTCTTTTCAGAATAAAAGGATGTTTTTAGAGCTGGTGTCTCGGCTGTTTTGGCAGCTCTGCTGCCCCCCAGAGACTCCCCCTACCCTACTGATGAGCTTAGAACAAGGGGAGGACCAAGGGAAGGGCTTTTTGGGTGTTATTCCAGCCTTTCAGGCTGCAGCTGAGGGAGCTGGGGGTGCTGAGCCCGAGCCAAGGAGGCTCAGGGGAGACCTTCTGGCTCTGCACAGCTCCTGGAGCCAGATGCACCTCAACCAAGTGCCACCACCTATCAATAACCTACCTAAAGTCAGGTAAGAAAAGGCACAAACTCAAACCTAGTCCCTTTCCATCTTATTTAAGGGTCAGTACCTTTAATTTTGTTCCCACTCTGCACGTCAGGAGGGAGACCTGCTCTGATCCCCCCGAGGGAGCTGCTGGCTCCTTCCCCAAGGGCACTGTGCCAGGGTGGTGCTGCTACACCTGGGACACGCTGTGCCCGTGGGGTCAACCACCCCAGGAGAGCTGGGCCACCCCTCCTCCTCCTCCCCACAGCAGCACAAGGTGGGAAGGTGGAGGCTGGAACAACATCCCACGTCCCTGAAGGTTTGTTTTAGAGTCTCACCTCAATGAGAGTCTCTGGTGCAGTCTGGGCAGGAGCCGTTCCCTGCAGCCCTTTGCCAGCTGGGCTGTGCTCACCACCTCTCTCAGCAGCTCCCCCCTCCTTGCTGGGTTTAGTTTTTGAAAGTGGAGCTCTGCAGCACCTTTTGCAATGAGGCAGCAGGTGCTGGAGAGGCTGTTGGAGTTCCAGGTTGCACCAGAAGTCCTGGCAAAGGTAGGAAGACACACAGCCCGACGTTCCTTCAGCTCTCCTGCTTCCTTAGTCTGCTGAACATCAGATAAGGGGATGCTCCAAAAGCTCCAGAGTCTTGGGGGGCACTGCAGAGGTTGGGGCACAGAAAGGCAGAGGTCACCCAGCCACCCTCTCCTGCCCAAGTCAGGCTAAACTCACCACCACAAGGTCAGAGCTCTGTAGCTGTGGCCCTGCTCCTGGAGGAGCTGGCTTCAGATTCCTGTTCTGCTAACAGCCTGGGGGGTGGGAAGGGACCTCTGGGGATCATCTCCTCCCACCCCCTGCTCCAGCAGCTCACCCAGGGTCACAGCCAGGAGGGTTTGGGATCTCTCCAGAGCAGGAGACTCCACAGCCTCTCTGGGCAGCTGCTCCAGGCTCGGCCACCCTCACACCAAAGAAGTTTCTCCTCCTGCTCAGGTGGCACCTCCTGGGTTCCAGTTGGTGCCCGTTGCCCCTTGTCCTGTCACTGGGCACCACTGACCAGAGTCTGGCCCCAGCCTCTTGCCCCCCAGGGGCCCTTTAGATATCAATGAGCACTGATCAGACCCCCTCTGAGTCTTCTCCATCTGAACACCCCAGCTCCTTCATCCTTCCTTCCTCACTGACCTGCTCCAGGCCCCTCAGTGGCCTCTTTCCAGTAGTTCCTGGTCCCTTTTGAACTGGGGAGCCAAAAAACCTTGGCACCCAGATCTCCTAGAGCAAAAGGACTCCATGCCCAGGGCAGGCTCCCCACAGGGGGGGCTCAGATGAACCTCCAGGTACTCACCCTGTCCAGACCCCTTTGGAAACTTTCCCCTTGGGTTCAGCCCAGAACTCCACCTGCTCCTTCAGCTCCTTATTCTGCCAGGGAAAAAAGAAACCAAACCCCTCTCAGGGTAACTCAGCAGGCAAGAGAGGAGCCTGGGGGACAGCTGGGACCTGCCCCTCCTCCAGAAGGATTTTTGGGGAGGTTTGGGGGGGACTTTCTGTCTTCAGGTTGACTTTTTGTGTGCTTTTTGTTTTAAAGCCAAGTGAAAGCTGCAGTATAAAGAGATGTCACCCTGGCAGTGCCACCAGCCCGGGGTGAGGAGAGCCCTGTGGCTGCAGGGAGCTGCTCCTGCCCCCTCCCCAGTGCCTCCCCCTGCTCTGCAGCCTCACCTGGGCTTCCAGCAGGGCCAGCCTCTCCCTCAGGGGCTCGATCCTTTCGTCTTGGCTTCTGAGCTCCTTGTTCAGTTCCTCTCTCTGAGAGGCAGGAGATAAAGTTGGTGAGAGAACTGAAACATCAAAGCATCAAAACCATCCCGAGGACTCAGGGGTCTCACTGAAATCACCAACGACCCCAGTACCCCCTTTTTAGGGATGCCATTTCTATAGAGTCACAGAATCAGTTTGGTTGGAAAAGACATTTAAAATCATCAAATTCAACCATCCCCCATCCCTGCCAGGTCCCCACTGCCCCGTGTCCCTCACACCACACCTCCAGGGCTTGGAAACCCCTCCAGGGGTGGGGACTCCAACACTGCCCTGGGCAGCCTGGCACAGGTTAAACCAATACTTTTCAGGAAGATATTTCTCCTCAGGTCCAACCTCAACCTCCCCTGGGGCAACCTGAGGCTGTTCCCTCTTGTCCTGTCCCTTGTCCCTTGGGAGCAGAGCCCGACCCCCCCCTGGCTCCAGGCTCCTACCAGGAGCTGTGGTGAGCCAGAAGGTCTCCCCTGAGCCTCCTTTGCTCCAGGCTCAGCACCCCCAGCTCCCTCAGCTGCTCCTCCCCACACTTGGGCTCTAGACCCTTCCCCAGCAGCTCCGTTGCCCTTCTCTGGCCACGCTCCAGCTCCACCCTGGATGGGGTTGGGGTGTCTGAACACAGGGTGCACAGAACCCAGCGAGATGCTCCTCCCCAGGACACACCCTGAAGGGAAGATCCCCCACCCCAGGGTCCCCCTTCTCTTTCCCAGGCCCAGGAGGGGTTCCCTGGTGGGCCAGCCCCACACACCTCCTGGATGAGCCCACGCAGGCCGTGGTGCTGCTCCTGGATCACGCTCTGCAGGTGGGAGATCTGCTCCTGCAGGGTGGAAATCTGCCTCTGGAGCTCCAGGCACCTGCAGGGGAGAACAGAGACACCCCAGGGTCAGGCCCAGCACCGCTGACCCACCCAGCCCCTTCCCCACCTCAGGGGCTTGTTGCTGGCAAGGAAGTTCCTGAGGATACAGGGTTGGAATTCATCGAGCAGGAGAAATAAACCCACAGTCTGAGACATACTTTGCCTGGTAGGACCACCCTTACTCACTGGTGATAGGTAAATCCATAGATGATGAAGACTTTTGGCCTTACCTATCACATGCAGAACATCACCAAAGCAACATCAACTCCAGATGAGAACCAGGGAGGCAGTTAGGGCATGAAAGGGAGAAAGAGAAGCACTAGGGATGGAGTAGAATCAACATCTAAGAGCCTTAGAGCATCAGCCTCTGCCTTGGCTCCTTCAGGCAGTCCTGGTAAAGTGGTACTTGAAACAATTGCCTTCATCATGAACAACTTCACTACTGGGAGGAACTTGACCCTTTGTGAAATGATCCCCCAGAAAGGAAGAAAAATGTCCCAGCAGAGGCATTTGATCACCGTTTGCTGTCTGCCTTCCGTGCCATCATCTGCTGGAGCAGCTTTTCACAGGACAGCTTCTTCTCCAGCAGAGTTTTCTTCTCCTGAGGGAACGATTCAAGTCATAGAGAAGCTGGATGAGCCAGGGGGGTTTGGCTGCACCTTCAGTGGTGCCCATCAGTGCCTGGAATCGGGCAGAGTTCACCACCCAGCACCTACACCACCCTCCTCCAACCTCCCAGTCTGACCCAGGATCAAACCCAGGCGGCTGGACCAGGAGAAAAGCCCAAACTTCCTCCAAACAGCATTTCTCTCTTCAGATAGAATTAGGGAGCAGCAATTCTCCATTTCCTTTGGTCTTGGGAGCACCCATGGCCAGGGGCTGGTGTGTGTGGGGGTGGCTGTACCTCCTCCATCCTCCCCAGGCGCTGCTCCAGCTCAGCCAGGCGGCTGCTCCTCTGCCCCAGCTCCTCAGCCCGGCGCCTGCTGCCCTCCCAGCTCTGCTGGAGCCTCTCCTCCTGCTGGAGCTGGCAGCCCTGCAACGAGCCGGGGGTCAGCGGGGAGCTGGTGGACGTGGCAGAGGGATGGAGATGGGGCTTGAGG